GCGAGGTGAATTTTTTTTGCCGTACTTTGAATTCAATTAATTATTTTGATTCCCCCGTTTTAATAGCCCAAATAATAATTGTTGAAAGTTAAGTTTTTCAATTACTTCTGCTTGTATCTTTTCTTTAGTAACACTGTTTTCTTTTTAACTTATCTAATTCCCTTGTATTTGTTGTTGAATCCTGTTCTGTATCCGGTACCAAGTTGTAGTTAGTTATTTTTATAATATTCAATGTTTAATAGTAGTTTCGCTAGATTTATAATGACTTGTTAATGCTTAGTTTTGATTGTAATTCAATTAATGATGTTTATTCTGCATATGTGGCAGTGATTATAATTTTTATGTAACGTCTTCTTGATGAAATTAGAGAAATTTTTTGTCAACTAACGTTTCAGCTGGCCTTTTCATTATATGTGATGAATTGCTAAGATTGGAAATGATGATATTAATTATCAGTTTATCAGCTTTACATATGTTACGAGTTGGTACTAAATTTAGTAACTACTGTAGGTAATCTTTCCTTAAAACGAACTGTTGTTCTAGTTTGAAGTATATTTTCTTGCTCTTAGGTAAATGACAATTAGGTGTGCCTTTGAGTCTACTAACTTCAAATTTCTATATTAGCTTTGAATTTCGTGAATTTTTATATCATTTTTTGAAGTTTTAAATTTATAAGAGTTTGAACTTCTTCAGTTTTTTTTCATTTTTAACTTTCTGTCCCTCTTCATGAACTTTGAATTTTTCCTGAAATTCTTAGAGTTTCTTATCTTTTTCCAATTTTTCAAATGTCCAGATTAGTTTTTAAGTCCTTAACTATCAGATTAATTTTCAAATTTTCTGGAGATGTAAAATTTAAGACCTAAAGCGGAAGACTTAAAGCAGTTTTTCAATCTTTGAATCGTAAATTATTAGGAATTTCTTGATTTTTGTTCTTTTTTTTGAATTCAATCCTCCGTTGTTTTTGAAAATCCTTTTCATTGTTTTAAGATGTTTTTTGAGCTAATCCCTTTTTAAACTTTTTATGTTTCGAAACTTTCCCCATCTGATGTATTATTTTTGAACTGATTTCTGAATTTTCTGAAAATTTAAGTTTCTCCAATTCATTTTCTCGAATTTTCCGTTGTCCCGAACACTTTTAATTTTTGCGCAACATTTTTATGGTAATTAACTTTTATTTTCACGTTTTTCTTCACTTAATATTCCATACTGTTTTAATATTAATTGATTTTTATTTAAGCTTTTTTTAAATCATCTTGACTTTTGCACATTAGTTTGTTATTAATTAATGTTTATGTCCACGTTTTTTAACCATCTTATTTTTTTGCTAACTATTTTTGATATTAATTAACTTCTATTTCCGTGTTCTTTTAATCACTTTAATTTTTACATGCAGTTTCGAT